TATTTTTTTTTATACATTTATCTCTTATAATTATTCATTTGTTTGCAAAGATCTGTCGATTTATCTTTATTCTATAAAGATATTATAAACAAGATAAATATGTTTTTGTTTTTATGTAGACAATTAATCTCGTCGCCTTCCTGACCGTTATATAAACATCGCGATTAGCTATTCATTTTGAGATTGTAAGTGTTTTTATTTCAACTGCCTGTGTTGTAATGATGATGATGAAGATAAGAGTGAATTATTAGAATATATTAACAAAGGTAATATATATAATGGCAGTATTTCACTGGTTATGTAATTTTGATAACAATTATGATGATACCGTTATAGACTCGTGACATAGACTGTCGTAATAAATTAAACATCATGCATATACGAATGAAAATCGGCTGGGACTTTTGTACAAATTAAGTAAAAAGTAAAACAATTCAGACGTAAAAAAGTAAAAAAAAATATGTAAATAAAAATTAAAACAATGATAACAACCATAATGATACTACTGCTATATTATTAGTAATAATAATAATAATAATATTATAACAATAACAGAAACAATAATAATAATGATAATGATAAAAAAAACAATTACAATAATAATGATAATATTACTATTAGTACAATACAAAAAATGGAAACAAACCAAAAGATAAGAAAGTCGATGTCGATGTCGATGACGAAATCAAACGTGAATGGTAAAACACTCTACCGTGTTGATGCTGATGTTGATGGTAGAAAAAAAAACCCACAAAGCACACTAGATTCATTGATAATGAGACGGGATTCATTGATAATGAGACTAGATTCATTGATAATGAGACTAGATTCATTGATAAGGAGACTAGATTCATTGACAATGAGACTAGATTCATTGATAAGGAGACAACACTTTCTAAATCCACTTAACCATCTTCAGGTCTGAAGATGGAATCCAGGTGGATTTCGAAACTTGTCTAATTATCAATAAATCTAGTCTGTGCTTTGTGGGTTTTTCTACCATGGTATCAAAGATAATGATATAGAAATGATAATAACAATGGAAATGATGATAACAATAGCAGCAACAAAATAATTGAGAAAATACTGACGCCTATTAAGAGTAGTAATAATACGTAATTATCTATTGATTTATCTATCCATAATCCTACATAAAGACAAAAAGAAACCAATTCACTTACGCAGCCGGAGAACATTAAAGACATTGACATCCACAAAGCAACACTTAACAGACCAGTTCTACTTTCCGGTGTCTTGAAGGTCCACGTTTTGCAAGTGTTGCCACAGAATCTTGTTGGCCAGAAAGACGAGATTCGGATCACATTTTTGTCTTCTTCATCTTCTTCTTTTCTCGTTTCATTTTTGTTTTTGTTGTTATTATTTTCAGTTTGGAATTGCATTTGTTTTTATTTAACTTTTCGTTATTTGTTATCCATTTATTTTCATTGTCTGTTTACTTTTGGTATTGTGTGAAATACAGAGATAATGCTACAGACCTATATGTACACATAAAAGTTACGTATGTACTTTGCACATATATACATGGTGATTAACATCAACACAATTTTTATTATAATGATAATGATAACAATGCTGCTTATCACAACAAATAATGATTAGAATAATTATAAAACAATATTAGCAACTATGATAAAAGTAGTAGTAATGATAATAGTAATAATAATAATAATAATAATAATAATAATAATAATAATAATTCAAACAATTGCAATGATAGTGACGATAATGACATTTATTATGTTGGTAATAATAATGAGAGGAAGAGAGAGAGAGAGAGAGAGAGAGAGAAGAAACGGATAAATAACCAGAAAACGAAAAAGAAAGGGAAACCCAAGCCAGCTAAACAAGCAGTGAAGAGAAACAAGTGATAACTCCATTGCACACGAATCCCCCAAGCAAGAGATTTGCAACACTTGCCAGCCTTCGCCACAAAACCCTTTCCTAATCCTGGTTTTCCTCACGGATCTCATTATTCCAGGTTTCGTCGAGTTTTCCTCTTTTTCATAAAAGTCTATTTTGGGTTCTAGCTCACGGGGTGCTTTTCGTATTCTAATTTATTTTCTTTTTTGAGTGTTTCCTTTTTGTTGTTTTAGTTTTCGATGTCATTTTAAATTCGCTCGTGATATTCTTCCCTTAAGCTTCTGGACCTTTTTCCGGTTGCCACTCTTGCATTCTTTTCTTCATGCGAATTGCTCTTCATTTTCGCCCATAATTTCCTCACTCGTTCTTCTGCTCTCTCTCTCTCTCTCTCTCTCTCTTCCTCAGTGATATCCATTCCCCTCCTCCATTTCCTGCATAACAACGGAAAGCAAAAAAGAAGAAAAAAAATCTTCCATGATTATTATTATTTTTTTTTCATCTTCTTATAAATCTTATTTTCGTTTTAGCTTTTACATACCTGTTTATCATTTAATCCCTTTACCCCGCCTTGCCATCGTTATTCTATCAACAAGTCCTCCCTTTTCTCCCCCCCCTCTCTCCCTCTCTCTCTCTCTCTCCCTCTCATTTCTCCGTGGTTTCTGGAAGTCATTATTCAGAGCTGCCGCCGCGGCTGGGCGAGAGACACGCAGTTGAAACAACGGCATAACGAGGACATCGGCCCCATAGGTTAAGAGATACAGCGTCATTTGTCCAGTGAAAACATCTCTTTTAGTTTCGCTATCTGTACGGTGGTGGCAGCACTGTCTGCGCCCCCTGCTCTTGATGGATACGTTCTTATTATCTGGTTTATTGATTCTGCGTTTTTCTAAATTTGGTTTCTTTTTCTTTTCTTTTTGTCTCATGGTGGGTGGAATTTTCATGAGGTGAACTTAGAAGGTGATAAGAAGTACGGTAAGATTACCTCTCTCTCTCTCTCTCTCTCTCTCTCTCTCTCTCTCTCTCTCTCTCTCTCTCTCTCTCTCTCTCCTCTCCCTCTCCCTCTCCCTCTCCCTCTCCCTCTCCCTCTCCCTCCCTCCCTCCCTCCCTCCCTCTCTCTCTCTCTCTCTCCTCTCTTTCTTTCTTTCTTTATCTCTATCTCTGACACACACATAAACATAGTTACTTTCTCTCTCTCTCTCTCTCTCTCTCTCTCTTTCTTTTTATTTTCTCTCTCTCTCTTTCCCTCATTGTGTGTGTGTGTATGTGTGTGTGTGTGTGTGTGTGTGTGTGTGTGTGTGTGTGTGTGTGTGTGTGTGTGTGTGTGTGTGTGTGTGTGTGTGTGTGTGTGTGTATTTCTGTATATGTGAGTGTCTATCTAATGTGTTCGAGAAAAGCTAAAGCAGGAAAACGATGAGTGAGCGCAGGCGAATATTTACAGTTTACACAAAAGTAATAAATAATAAAAAAATAAAAGATCAACATCGTAAAACACACTTTGAATTAAGTGCAAAAACCTTTCAGACGTGAAGAATGCACGGAGTTACACATACATCACGCAGTTGACTAAGTTCACTTCTTGTAGAATGTATTTTGAAAATATTGCATATACAATAAAGCAAAATGTAGCTCATTTTGCTACTAAGGCGAGAAAGCTAGGACGAGGGAGGAAGAGAGGGAGGGAGGAAAGGAGGGAAGGAGAGAGGAAAGAGAGAGAGAGAGAGAGAGAGAGAGAGAGAGAGAGAGAGAGAGAGAGAGAGAGAGAGAGAGAGAGAGAGAGAGAGAGAGAGAAGGAAAGAGAGTGATAGATAGAAATAGATAGACAGCTATTTTTGACAGACAGACAGATAAATAGATAGATAGATAGACACTGACAGATAAATAGATAGATAGACAGACACTGACAAATAGATAGACAGATAGATAGATTGATATTTATAGAGAGAGAGCAAAGGAAAAAGTGCAAAAAAACAGTAAGATAAAGAAGCATACGGAGTGAAAATAAAGAGAAAAGAAACAAAGAAATAGAGACATAAAGCTTGAAGACTAAAGAGGTAGTGACATAAAAGATGACAGAAAGGGACATAGAATAGAAGGAAAGACAAAGAAAATGAGATAGCAAGACAGAGGGGAACAAAAACCCGGGCGGCCGCTCCCTGGGTTAATATAAGAGTCAACATACTTGGCCTGAACCTAAGCCTTGCAATCGATAACCCTTATTGATAATTAATGCTGGTCCACTTTATCCACTTCCAAAAAAGATATTTATAATCATCTCCAATAATAAACTGATAATAAAGTTGATGGACATTACCGCCAAACAAATTCTATATTCGATTAGACAAGAAGGTAGGTAGACGCAGACGTTGATTTGCAATGAGACAGCCGCACGTGTAGGTAAACAAGCTTATCTAATCTTCAAAAAAATAGTTGAATAATTGCTCCAGTCGACTGCAGAGGAGATTACATTCTTGAGATAGACAGGTAGGCAGACAGACACATAAATAGGTGGATGTAGTAGGAGATAGACAGGTAAGTTCAAAAAGGCGTCTTTCTGCTTTGCGTTACTGGTCTTTACCTCGTCTCAATTTCTGTCGTTTTTTACCCTTTTTTTTAAATCTTTTTAATGTCTTCATCTTGATCTATGTCTGCGTGACGAGCGGCAGTAAAGTTTTGTAATTAAGTATTAACGTGCAAATCTACCACTCTTTTTTTTCTTTTTCTTTTTTTCTTTTTTTATCTGTCTAACTTCACACGGGTAATCTTCCTTATCTTTCGTATCCCTCTCTTCTATCTCATTCTCTTTAGCCCGCTTTGGCTATTCGAAACCTCGCTGTATTTCTCTCTCGCATGAATACTGTACTTCTCTTTCCGTAATATATGTATTATTACCTTTATACCGATATTACGCCTCTTTCCGTATTACATATTCTTAATATCATAACTTTACACTGAAAAAAAATCCCTTTCTATCTCTCTAAAAAGAGAGAGAGAATGTGAGAGAGAGCGAGAGAAAAAGAAAGAAAGAAAGAAAAGAAGAAAGAAAGAAAAGAAAAAAACAAAAACGGAGACTGAAGGAGGAATGGAATACATCTTAACAACAAACTTAATGATTTACTTACTGTTTTTGAATTCATCGTTGGGGTCTGTTTCTTCTCCGTCTTCCATGTCATCATACAGTTCCTGCGACGCAATGAGGGTGAGGGAATGGCTGAGAAGGAGAGTGAAGATAGTGATGCTAGTCCAAGTTCTCCACAGCCTGGCCAGTAACATCTTCAAGGGACGAAAGAGCGTTTATGTCGGTCTGCACACGTTTCTTTTCTATAATCTTTTCTTATTTATTTTTCTATCTCTCTCTCTCTCTCTCTCTTCTTTGGGTTTTACATATTTCTTAATTTGATTTATCCATCTATCTCTTTATTTTCCTTCCTCTCTGTATTCATTTATTTGTTGTTGTTTTTTTCCTAATAAATATTATTTTCCTTCGATTTTTTCTTTCCTAATCTCTTTTTCTTATTTCCACCTTATCTCTCCTCTTCTCCCTTCTTTCCCTTTCTTCTCTGTATGTATTTCTAAATCACGCTGATAGTATTACCATCAAGTTTGTCGACGTTTAAAATCTTAATTAATGTGAATGATTTTCTACGGTCTTCGTGAACAAATTCATCATCATTACTTCATCACACATGACACCGGTCTTCCTTCTCACAATTCTCATCCTCTTTTCTCTCTCTCTTTCTCTATTCCTTCTTCTCTTTCTTCCGAGCAGCACCGAGCATACCACAAAACCTGGGTCGAGAGTACCAATACTTGGGTGGGAAAAGTACCAGAAAAAGTATGCTTTGCAACTATCCTTAAAAAAAAATGCAACAAAAGATCTACGAGGTGAAATTATTCAAAATATACATGAATCTATGTATATAAGTATTTCAAAAACCTCGAACTCTCGCCGGGGAAAAG